GTACGCGAGTCAGCCGCAGTACAGGTCGAGCCTGGCGTGGTCTCGATAACGTTCTGACCTGGCGGGGGCACCGCCGTACCGTCCTGACCTGATGGGGGCACCGCCGTACCGTCCTGACCTGACGGGGACACCGCGGTACCATCCTGACCCGACGGAGACGCCACGGTACCGTCCTGACCTGACGGGGGCACCGCCGTACCGTCCTGACCTGACGGGGGCACCGCCGTACCGTCCTGACCTGACGGGGGCACCGCCGTACCGTCCTGACCTGACGGGGACACCGCCGTACCGTCCTGACCTGACGGGGGCACCGCCGTACCGTCCTGACCTGACGGGGGCACCGCCGTACCGTCCTGACCTGACGGGGACACCGCCGTACCGTCCTGACCTGACGGGCACAGCCGCCGTACCGTCCTGACCTGACGGGGACACCGCCGTACCGTCCTGACTGACGGGGACACCGCGGTACCATCCTGACCCGACGGAGCGCCACGGTACCGTCCTGACCTGACGGGGGCACCGCCGTACCGTCCTGACCTGACGGGGGCACCGCCGTACCGTCCTGACCTGACGGGGGCACCGCCGTACCGTCCTGACCTGACGGGGACACCGCCGTACCGTCCTGACCTGACGGGGACACCACGGTACCATCCTGACCCGACGGAGACGCCACGGTACCGTCCTGACCTGACGGGGACACCGCCGTACCGTCCTGACCTAGCGGGGACACCGTGGTACCGTCCTGACCTGACGGGGACACCGCCGTACCGTCCTGACCTGACGGGGACACCGCGGTACCATCCTGACCCGACGGAGACGCCACGGTACCGTCCTGACCTGACGGGGGCACCGCCGTACCGTCCTGACCTGACGGGGGCACCGCCGTACCGTCCTGACCTGACGGGGGCACCGCCGTACCGTCCTGACCTGACGGGGACACCGCCGTACCGTCCTGACCTGACGGGGACACCACGGTACCATCCTGACCCGACGGAGACGCCACGGTACCGTCCTGACCTGACGGGGACACCGCCGTACCGTCCTGACCTAGCGGGGACACCGTGGTACCGTCCTGACCTGACGGGGACACCGCCGTACCGTCCTGACCTGACGGAGACGCCACGGTACCGTCCTGACCTGACGGGAACACCGTGGTACCGTCCTGACCTGACGGGGGCACCGCCGTACCGTCCTGACCTGATGGGGACACCGCGGTACCGTCCTGACCTGACAGGGACACCGCGGTACCATCCTGACCCGACGGAGACGCCACGGTACCGTCCTGACCTGAAGGGAACACCGTGGTACCGTCCTGACTTGATGGGGACACCATGGTACCGTCCTGACCTAGCGGGGATAACGCGGTACCGTCCTGACCTGACGGGGGCACCGCGGTACCGTCCTGACCTAGCGGGGACACCATGGTATCGTCCTGACCTAGCGGGGACACCGTGGTACCGTCCTGACCTGACACGGACACCGTGGTACCATCCTGACCCGACACACGGGGACTCCCCTCGGTGGTTGCCACCACACGGTCGCCTGAGCCACAACGAAGCTCCCGTAGGGAGTCGGCGGCCCCGGTGCGTTTTTGCGGCCGGCCGAGCGCCGCCTGGGAGGGGTGACCGGAGGTCAGCGCGACTCTCAGCCAGCCGTCGCCGTCCAATTAGCGGCGCTGGCGAGCGCCCGGCCACCTGTGTTAGAATCTCAGAGAATCGGATTCAGCCCAGCTGGAGCGAGGCATTCGAACAATGCGAAGATGCGGCCGACTGTCGCAGCGGCAGCTCTTTGCAGAATCACGGGAATGCCGTCGTCCCATGATTCAGGGCGCGTAGCATACGGGAAACAACGTGTAGTAGCTTTTGCATGGATGTCCTAACAACGAAAAGACTATTATACTATTATTTCCGAAGCTACGTCACAAGTTGTGATCGCCCAAGGCCGGAAAGGCTCGCCCAAGGCGGCAAATAGCGGGCCCCAGAAGTGGCGCACATTCGGAATTCGCCAGCCACGAGGTCTGATGCTGAGTCCGTCCCGCGCGGCGCAATGGTGCGATTAAACCTAGCCGTTGGCCGTCCTCTGGCAAAGATTCAGCTGGCGGCCGACCAAGATATTCTGACTTGATCAGTCAATCACTTCATCATTTTCAATCCGCCACACAGCACATGTTCTCAGCAGGTCTGAGCCAAGACGCCTGGCTGGCCCTTGTTTGCCCGGACAATAAAACATATATTCCACTGAGCCAGCGCAAGCCCGCTTTGCCCTTCACCATCAAAGACGTCACCGCCGGCAAGCCTCACCTTGCACGGCCAGTCATCAGGGAGTGTCACTCTGTCGACCGGGCGAAGTACCGGACATTCCGTACCACATCGCTGGAGTCCGAGCTGATCCCGCGGCGGCCTTCCGCGCCGTCGAGACCAGCACCGCCTCACAACTTAACTGGACGCCAGCCGTGTTCCGGCGATGGCGCTGGAACACGGCGACGGGTCGTAGTGTCGTATCGCCGTAGTGTCCTATCGTCGTAGTGTCCTATCGTAGTAGTGTCGTATCGCCGTAGTGTCGTATCGTAGTGTCGGCGCGGGGCACGGGGAGTACACCAACCGGCCGTGTTTTCACTGGCATGATCGGCACTCAGGTGCCGCCGGAGCCGGCCAAAGCCAACATGCCGGCCGATTTCGGCGCATTATGGTGTCGCGTTCGCCAGCACCGTGGTGTTTCGCGCGGCGTGACTGGTCACAACCGGCCAATGATGTTCCCCGACGAGGCAACACCCCGCCGGTCTCTCGCCGCCAGTGGTGTCACCGGCCCGCCGGTGGCGAAGACCCGCGCGGCGTTGCCACGACTACAGGCGTCCGTCTCGGGCAATGCAGGGTCCATGTCCCGCCTCGCGGAACAGGCACGCCGACACACGGGCCGAGTCAGCGCCGCGCGAAAGGAACGAGAGCAGAGGACAGGAAGGGGGCGGCCCTTGAAGCCCCGTCGCGAGCGTCCGACCCCGGAGGGGACCCGCCATTCCGGCCGCCATCGCCGGCGCCGTCCGGCCCCAGCCGCTGCTGTCCGGCCCCAGCTCGCCACTATCCATCACTGGCCGTGCCGCGTGAGCCGATTATCTCGTCAGACGGCTCCGGGCGGCTCCCGGCGGCTCCCGGTGGCTCTCGGCGGCTCCTGGTGGCTTCCGGCGGCTCACGGTGGCTCCCGGCATCTTTCAGCGGTTCCCGGCGGCTCCCGACGGCTACCGGTGGCTCCCGGTGGCTCCCGGTGGCTCCCGGCGGCCCCCGTGACTCCTGACGTCGGCTCTCAGCCCGGGCCGCCCCGCACGCCGACGGGTCACAGCCGCCGCCGCGGCCGACACACCCTCGCCACAGGCCTTCGATACGCGCTGCCACACTGGTGACGTCATCGTCGCGCAGTTGTGACGTCACCGGCACGCGGTGCGACGACGCCGACCGCGGCGGCGTCGCCGCGGAGGCCACAGGATGCGGCCGGGTCCGCAGGCCGGACGCGTGACGGCTTCTGGCGGCTGGATTTCGACCGCATCGATCGCCCCGGACGGCCCGTTCCGCCCGCCCAGCGGCGGCTGCGGACGCCCGCCGTCCGTGACGTCAGGGGAGCACCGAGTCATGCTGATGTGGGCTCCGCACCTCCGCCCCGACCGCACGGCTGCGCGGCCACACTCGAGTCGCCCCCTCCCCCCCCCCGCTCGCCTGTTCTCGGCAGAGCGCGCGGCGAGTGGGTCCGGTCCGGGACCTCGCCAGCGAGAGTCGACGCTGTCCGTGCGGGTCCCAGACCGGTGTCTAAGTGGGCCCGGTCTGGGACCTCGCGAGACAGAGCCGACGCCGCCCGGAGCTCACCGTCACTCGGCGGCCGGTGCGTGGGTCTGCCTCGACGCGCGAGGTCAGAGCACATCCCTCCCACGCCCCGGTCCGGCGGCCGATCCGTGGCACGAACTCTGGTCGATGCGCATTTCGGAATGCGAACAGAAGTCGCGCTGGTGTACGGTTTGGAGCGTGGCGTCCATAAACAAACAATTCAAGCAGCGTGAGACAACGAAGCGCTGAGCGCCCCCGGGGCTGCGCCCGTGCGGGGCCTGGCTACAGCGAGGTGGAGACGGTGGTGCGGTCGACAGGGGCTGACTCCGGTGACGTCAGGGGTACGCACATATCCCGAAGTCCAGGGACAGTCCAGGACTAGGCCTCTCGCGGCGAACACAGCTCGCAGAGGCTGAGAAAGGCGGTGTGCTAGAGCGGCCGGAATGGGCGTGTTTCAATGACGACATGACGAAATGATGACCAGGCGAAGGGAACTTGTCGCGCCTGCAAAGCAGCTCTGCACTCATCCCGCCAGTCTTGGTTGAGAAACCTTTATGATCGGTTGTTTGTTGACATATGCCACGGCCAAGGTTAGCGGCACAGCGAGCCGATGTGGAAACGACGACTAGGAGCGAGAATCGAGCCCAGACCTTTCGGCTGATCGTCTCTCATGACCTTGATTGTCTTTTCGTTTTAACTTAACCCGAAAATTTTCAATTGGCTGTATTTCTGGGATCGTAGTTCGCGTTGGGCAGCGCTTGTTGTGTGAACCACCAACCTGACTATCCGATCGGGCCAATTCAGCTCCAACGTCAGATTTTGTGCCGCCGCGCGCCGTACTGCTCGACATGGGCCGTCCCACCCTCTGACGTCATCTGACGCTGAGCGGTCGCCGTCGCCGACTGCAAGCCATCTCAGTCATGGGCAGATGGGGGGCGCGTGTAGCGATTTGTTCCCAGTCACCCCGCCCAGGGAAGGCTGGGAGGCGGACACTGACGGGTCGAGCTACGGGGGCGGACTTCGAGGATCGCCTTTCGACGATATACCGGCCGGGAAGGCGTGCTGATCACATCAGCTTTCCGCTCACCCAACCAACCACTGGCGGAGAACCTGCGCTGTGCACGGCAGCTCTCCACGCACAGCGGCTCTTCCCGCACAGCAGCTGGGCGCACACAGCGCCTCCGTACTCACCGAACCAGTCCTTGGCGGAGAACCCACGTGACACCGACAAGTTGTAGATGGCCGGGCGCGGATGCTGGACGCCAGCGCCCGTGCCGGCGCCGGCCACCAGCTCCGGCAGCGGCTCGAACTGCGGCCGGCCCGACACGGACGCGAGCGGCGGGAACAGAGTCAGCTCGCCGGCCGGCGTCGGGTCGTAGGTGGCGTTGTTGAAGCCCTGGATGGCTGGCGTCGCGCCCTGCGGACGAGGGCACTTTCCTCAGATTCGGCACATCTCGCGGACGGGGAGAGGCCCGCCAGCTGGGGCCCCGGGCGGTCACGTGACACGCGGCGGGGAGCACTGGCAGCGGCTCGGCCGGCCACGTGACATACGCGGCGGGAGGGGACGCGAGATCCGACCATTGGTTCCCAGAAACATCACGTCAGTACTGAAGTCGCCTGCCTCCGTCACGTTGGAGACAAAACATTAACGCCGTCTTTGATTTGTAACCACATTGTTTCCTACAGAAGCGCTGGAATAAAAGCTCCCGCCAATGATAACTAAGAAGATGTACGCTGGGTCCGTCATTCCAGTGGTTCGAGGTGCAGCGCATTGTGTCCTGCCTGTCAGCCAAACCGCACGTTTTGCCATGGAATGGCACAACACGGAAAGCCGGCGGTAAGCTTTGTGCTTGTTGGTAAGACGCGATTCGTAAGAGGATTGCAAACCACTCGATTGTTGAGCCCGGAAATGCTGCGTCTGCAGCCCGCCGCCAGCATACTAACCGCAGCATCACTGGGATAGCATTCTGCAAACACGCCCCGGCGTCGGCTCTTATTTTTCTCTCCGGGACCGGCTGTTGTTCGGAGTTCAAAGTTCAATACCTCCGTCGTCCCACCGTCCAAGCACAGCCACACAGTAGACGCGTCACTAACTCACGCGCCGTCAGAACGGAAGGGGTCTCCATGTCGGACCGAGTGGCGGGCGGGGGAGGGCTGGGGGGGGGGGGGGGTGGACGTGTTGGGACGTTTGACCGATTGACCTGTTGCTGCCCGGTCGTCCGGCTCCGGCCGAGCGTCCAGTCGGGTGTGAAGCCCGCTGGCCAAGCAGAACGGCCGCGGCGGCAAAGGACGCTCAGAGTGCCCCCACACCCATCCCCACCCCCCACCCACATCCATATCACCACTCCTCCACCTCTCCCAATCCCAACATACGGGTTGTTACAAGGGAGAGAACAAAGTTTGACAACGCACATGAGCCGACGTCAAGACGGACGCTGTTCGTGACCTGAGGAAATGGCGGGCAGTTTCCATGGTAAACACCGGATCGCACACGCGGTCAAAGCAGAGGGGACACGGACGCGCATGCGACGGCAAAGTGTGGAGGGAGTGGGAGATCAGCGCCATTCCGGCCCCGCCGCCGGCAGCGCACCGGAACACGCGATAATTCAAATCCAGCCAACTAGATGATCGCATACATGTATTCAAATTGGTCCCGAAGGAGCGAGTCAATCACGACCGACTGGCACTCCTAGTGGCATCAAATTCGGGACTGGGGGCATGAATCGGGACGGGACAGCACGCCCGGCGCGACCGCTGCGTCACGTCCCGGAGGTCACCAAGCACGGCACCAGTCTTCACGACGGGCCGAGCTTTGTGCACGCGTTTTGCTTGCGGCCGCTGACCCTGTGTCTCCAGGGTCAGGTCGAGAGGCCGTCGAACGTCGGATGTCGACCTGACGAGACGAGCCTCCGCGGCGCGCGGTACGACAGCCGCCAGCTCGCAGCCCACTGTCCGGTCCCGGTGGGCGGCCCGGCTTCCCCCAGCACTCTGGGCCGCCCCGTGTCAGCATCGCGCCGTTCTCAGCGGGTCAACCAGGCCGCCAGAGGCAGCAGAAGACCAGCACACCGCCGTGCCCAGACGCGCGAGGTGACCCGTCGCTGACGGTCCGGCGCGGTACGACCAGCCAGCCGCGCGCGGAACGGCGCCAGTCGGCGGCACAGGAGTCTGGCGGGTCCCCAGGAGACCCACCAACCATCCAGCTCCGCGGCGGAGCACCGCTGTTGTCGCCCGGCGGCACAGGAGTCTGGCGGGTCCCCAGGAGACCCACCAACCATCCAGCCCCGCGGCGGCGCACCACTGTTGCCGCCCGGCGGCACAGGAGTCTGGCGGGTCCCCAGGAGACCCACCAACCATCCAGCTCCGCGGCGGAGCACCGCTGCTGCCGCCCGGCGAGATGAAGTGTGATGGTGGGCGAGGGGTGACGTGCGCTCTGTTGCTGGCCGCCGTCATGATTCAGGGTGTGTATTTGCACCAATTGTGAATTGTTTTTTAATACTCTTTATAAAATCGTATAAATAATCGAGCTATGCCTTTTATTTTGAATTACAAACATCTCTAGTTTTATATTTTGTGTTTTTATTTCTAAAAATATATCAACATGTGACGGTTTAAAGAATGGAGGTGCTCAGACTGAGAGATGCTTAGCTCCCTCTGAAAACTGTCTTTGCCGGGCTAAAATTGTCGGAAGAATTATACGCAGGTAGCTGCGCTCCTCTTTCATCTAGTGACTCGTCGTCCAGAACACAGCAGGCACTTTAACTAGCAAGGAGCGGCCCGGACCGCCACCACCGGCACTGCAACATGGCGCTGGCGCGACAAAACTTATTCTGACGCACGTGGATTTATTTGGAAGCACTTGGATTTACGCAAATGCGTTGATGTCGCAACTGGTAATCAACATGCTTGAGGATCATGTAAATATCAAGCCAATATTTTAGAACCATGCTTAGAACATGGACTTCAACACACCCAACGGTTCTGAAGGAACTTGGAGGAGCATTGAGAGTGACGACAGTTGACGTCAAATGACCAATGCAGTCGCGCGCCCTAAAATCCAATTCAGCATCGATTATGACGACAGGGAAAGGGATCTTTTCGGTTTATCAGCAAAGTCCACGGTTTTTTGGCACGGGCCTTTACATACATGCATTCAGAGAAAAGAGAGTACGCAGGCCGTCGCAGGCAAACACTTCTTTGGGGTAGCAAACACTTCAGTACCCTCAACACTGATGCACCCACTAGGTACCGACATGTACATGAGAATGAACCGCGGCGCTGGGATTAAACGCGGCGGAGACAGCGGCGCGCGCGAAAGTCGCTGCTTCACAGAATGGCGCCTCTGACGGCCACAAGTGGCCTAGCCTGTCCTCGCCCTAGTGCCCCCCCCCCCCCCCCCTCCCCGCTCCACCCCATCTGCCAGCCATCTTGCCATCTTCTCTGAATCAGTGCGAACCCCTATTGGCGTGTATCACACACCTCATCCGAACGTAAGTGTCGGTGTCAACGGGCAATTAAGGTCCGCAAGGCCCGCTCTTGCTCTCTTCCTGTTTTGCAGCTTCAAACGATGGAGTGAGAACTCATGCAGCACAGTCAATACGAATACCATCACATATGCAGGGCTTTTCAACGAACACCTGATCAGGGGTAGAACAATGGCCACGCAGGCGCACCTCCGCGGCCAAACCAAGGTAAGGGGTAAAGGAGGGGGATCGACCTAGCCCCGGTCTATCGCCCGGGGCGCCAGCTGCAGCCGGGCTCACCGGCTACCAGTTTTAGCTTCACAGAAAGAAGGCTTAAACTCGTACAAGTTTTTCTACACGCTGGTTTTAGTCGCAGTCAGTTTGGTTGCGCTTTTGGTCACGTCAGCACTGAAGCTGCTGTGAAATCTCGAGACATAGGGCAACACGAGCAAAATTCTCACCGGAATGCCCCAACAATCGCAGCTTCATCCCACGGACGACAACCTTGGCCATCGCTTTTGGTCGGACATGCCTTCCGATCAGAGCTCGACTCGCTATCAAGATTTCCAAACCTGTCGTCACCGCCGCCGCCGAGCGGTCGCTGGCGCCGCTGCGAGAGGTAGCGACCTGCCGGCTGCAGCCGGGACGGCGGCCGGCGCCGCACGCGGCCCATATGGGGACGCCCGGCCGTGCACGGGGAAGAACAGCGCGTGAGGCAACCTGAGTCACCGGCCGGCACACGGCGTCCCCCATCCCCCAGCACCCGCCTCCCCTCTCGCTCCCCCGGCCGACCACGCCCTGAGGCTCGGTCTAACGCTCCCCCAAGAGGACGGAGTCGATGACGTTGCAAAAACATGACGTCCATGCTGTAACATAAACTCCTACCGGCGAAAGTGCAGCGACATTACCTCTACTGTCGATAGCTCTAGCCGACATTACATCTACTGTCGATACCTCTAGCCGGCATTACTTCTACTGCAACGGCTTATGCGCGACATTAGCGCTACAGCAAGGACTTGTGGTCTTTGCTGTATAAAAAATGGCTGGTATGTGTCTTTTGCGGCATAAGTTTAATCGTGTTGTACTCATACCGTGTATATGCTTTCGCACAAGTAAAGTCATGTGAAGGCTGTATTATACGTCTCTGCTGTAAAGTAAAGACGACTTTAAGTTTTTACGGTATGTGTTGTATAGTGGAGCATTCATGTCGTATACGAGTTTTTGCGGCAGAAGCAATGTCGCGTGTAAATGAAGACTGTATACAAGTTTTTTTGCGGTGGATGTAAAGACGTGTGTTAGTGTTTGAAGTAACGTGTGTTGTGTAGCACTCACGTCGTGAATAACAAGTCTTTAGAGCAGGAGTAATGTCGCGTATAGGTAAGGACCATATCAGCCTTTTGCGGTAGAAGCAATGTCGCGTGTAACTGATGTCGTTGCACCCCTGTCAGTAAGAGTTCTTGCCGTGGCGCTAACGTCGTGGCGTCCTGACAGAAAGGAAGACGGAGGGGTGCGTGGGAGAATGGGGGGCAGGCAGGAGGTGAGAGAGGCGGAAAGTGGTCCATCCGTTCGGCACACGTCCCACCGAATCAGATGCGCAGGACGAGCGTAGTGCAGCTCAGTCGTTCGCGCCTTCTGGATTACTCAGTATCCGACCAACACGGCTCCTGTTTCGAACTGAGAGTTGTCCCGTGTTTATTCCACGCCGTTCTCAAGGCGACGGAACGCTCCGATGGTAGCCTAACTTCCGTGGGATCCGAGCTCTGTTCGAGCCAAAGCACCCCATCTCCGTTAGAAACCAGCTTCCTGCGCCGGTACAATGCCGCGGATATATAGGTCTGCCGAAAATGACGCATGAGACCATCATTACAGCCCTAAAATGTCATGTCCGACTTCGCTGACAAATGATCTTCGTAATTCGTGAAAAAATCGTGAAAAATCGTGCACCAAAAAAACGCCACTAAATTTGATTTGCAAGAACATCTTGGGTTTGTTAGCTGTTCATCACGCGAGATTTTAAGCTGAACGGAAAATGCCCTCACTGAAAATGACCCCCCCCCCGAAATGATAAACACAGGTTCGGACAAAAGCTCTGTGCACGCCGTGTGGTACTCGCACCAGCTTGAGTTTCCGCTTAGTAACAGTGCGTAGAAGCCGCCCCAGCGTGGTTTTTCGTCACGATTCTGAGCGGCCGTACGTCATCAGTGCAGGGATCAGGAAGCGACGAAGAGCTGCCTGGAGAGCTGTCCAGCCGGCCACAGCTCCACCACGTCATTGACACACACCGACAGTGGCGCTGTCTTTCCAGCGGGCCTCGCGCCGACCAACATCAAACGCACTCACCGTCCGGGCAGTCTGGCAGCGGCCCGAAATTCCTTCCGATCAACAACGCTGTGACGGCAGGAGAAGCATACGATATCCCCTGAAGCGTCTGTTTGCTGACGCTAATTGACGTTCTTCGACATCAGAATGGTTCATTCGGGGTCAACAAGTACGCGGTCTGCAGCCTAGGCTAAACACCGTTGCAGCATTGTGCGGTTCTGATATGCAGCAGGCCGTCCCCTCCTTCCCCCCCCCCCCCCCCCGCCTCACCCGGCGTGGCGCCCCACGCGGCGCGCGGCGGTGTCCTCCCGAGGGGGGGGGGGGAGCGAGGCTGAGTCGTGCCTCGGACTCCTTAGGCACGCGAATGGCCCGGCACACTGCGGTGGCCAGCAAACTTCGCCGGAGGACACGTCGCGGCTATTGTCTGAGTCACTTCTCACCCCCCCCCCCCCCCCCGCCAAGCTCGCGCGTGTTGTCCGAGCGGACGCTGAGTGGCGGCGGGCGCTTTCAGAGCGTCACCGGGAGCTGCGCCCCCCTCCCCCCCCCCCCCCCGAGACAGGACCAAACACGGTGGGCGGGAGTATAAGCCAGGTAGCAATGCGCGAGCATCTATTACAAAAACACCCCAGCCACACGGCCTCTCCCAAGCCTGCTGTCGACTCCAGTATCAAGTTTCCACACGGAGCTCGCTTTTTCCAGCGCCGCCCCCTTATCCAGCGCTGCCCCCCCCCCCCCCCCCCCTATTCCCACCCTTACTCGCATGTCCTCCAGCGGCTCCCCTGTTCCAGCACTAGCAACGTTTCCAGTCATGCAACCCTCCCCATTCACCGACCAGCATTGTCCCCTCTGCCGAACGGCTTCCGCCCCAGCCCTGGCCTACCTTGTGTAGCCGCTGGCAGCAGACGCAGCCGACAATGATGGAGACGGCGGCAGCCAGCAGCGCGAGGCCCAGCAGCAGGGGCAGCGGCCAGGAGTCGGCGCCGACCGACCCCGACACAGAGCCTGGCCACACAAAGTCAGAGTCAGAGGCTGAGACAGAGGCCAGGGTGGCCGTAGTCGACCCTGGTACGCATCCTGACAACACAGCTCAAATCGTCAGAATCCTGACGTTCAGAGCCATTATATCTGGGACACCACCGACGAGTTCGCACTAGCGAACTCTGACAAAACATCCCAAGTCGTTTTGGGAATGCAAAGTCAAGAGTCAGAAACTCGGACATCAGAAAGACCTTGGTGCAGGCTGACAGCATTTACGCAGGCAGACAGGCCGTGTTCGCAGCCCGGTGGCACGGACGTCGTCGGGGTTCTCCGGTGCCAATTTCGCATAGGCGGAGACTATCCGACCATCGACTATCGGAGACTATCCTGTTCAGCCCTATGCCACCGAGATAGTTTCCTGGCTTTCGTTGAGACGCACTGACCTATGACGGAGCGTTGAAGGGTATGACCTTTCAGTACCAGCCTAGGCTATCTTGAACGTGTTGATGGCTTACGGACTGTTCCGAGGGCGCGTTCCAATCAAAGACGGTCCTGAATCCCAGAGTGGTTCATGGGTTCTGTGTATCGTGGGCTGAGAACCTCGTCAACGTGAGAATGCAATCTCCAAGTCATGCCGGTGTGTGGACTACAGAACAAATCACCTTTGTCTACGCCAGGCCGCCTACACATCAAGTTGCAAATGATGAGCATTCTTTCCCTGCGTGTACCGCGCTGCCGAGACGGCACCCGAGCGGCTCCCGTACATTTCTCTTCCGACAGACTTGTCAATATCCTGAACCGGTCCGGCAGCCCGGCCAGGCACCCGCTTCCCTGGGCTTTGTCGTTCCTGCCGAACGGGCTTCTGATGCCGCTCCCGCAGCCCTGCTGGTCCCGGATCCCGCGGCATCACATCGCGGGATCCGGGTCTCCGGGATCCGGACCACATCGCGGATCCGAGGTCCCAGCAGTCGGCTGGCCTTAAGGAACACGGTCGCCTTTGGAGGGCGTCAGTGGTTGTTCGCGTAACGTGGGATCTTCGTCCACGACGATCCTCACACTCCTTCCCTGCAGACTTGCGCGGCTGGACTGTTCGGAGGGAGTGGCGGATGTTGCGGCGGCCAAGGTGCAAGGTACATTACTCGGCTTTCTGAACTGGGAGAAGCTACATTTCAGCCCATGTACCAATCTAGTTTTGATCGGGCAGCAACTGCTGCAATCCGCCCTGATCAGGCCCGCCGCAGTACAGTCTGGTGTCGTCTGCGGCGAGTTTGGCGCCGCTACTTAAGCTCTCTGTAGTGGGTTGTTCACGGAGAGTACGGACATAGTCGGGGCTGGCACCCGACTTAGGGATAGGGCTGCCAACATCTGCCCACTCCGAGCCCGATCCGCTGGTAGCCGAGCTTTGCTCTCGCCCAATGAAAAGTGGTCTATCTGTTAAAAAACGAACACGACTTCCAAGAGCACCAGAGGTACGCTCTCAATGGAGAAAACTGATATCCTCCACCTTTGCCGCAGGCACGTGGCACGTGATTGTCTTGGGATGAACATGTAACATGCTTTATCAGGATGATCTGATCCCTGCACATGCTCCACAAGCTCATCCCTAACCGCCAGCTACAGGAGGCAAGGCCAGCTGTATGGTAGCTTCTGGGACAGCCTCATCAATCTTCCACTTCTCAGAGCCTGTTCATGCTGACAGACTTCTGAAAGTCATCAGTCTGTGGCACACTATGTGGAGGGGGCTTCCAGCCTCATACCAACCTTTTCAGTAGATATGAGAAGTGAGAGACAACCACAGACTAATGTTACAAGCTTTCTTATCCACAATGTCCTGTGCAATATCTGCCATCCTGAGTAAGTTGGCTGAACAACAGGGGCTGGCTGGGATGTCAGTGCAGTCCTCTATGCAATGGATGGTCAATAAATCTGGAAACACTGAGGCATCTCCAGCATCTCTGTTTGATAGGGTGCATCAGTTCACCTTCAGATTCTCTACATCAGAACAGACTAAGAGGAAGGAGTTGGCATGCCTCCATGATACTTTTAAGTTCAGCTTAGCCTCCCTGGCCATTTGCCCCTCAGTCAAAAGAAACATGTAATTGTAGCATACAGGTTATTGGGGCTTGACCAACAAGCAACAGGCTGAATGTTCCTCATTCCCGCCTGTGTTTTAGATCCTTCTTTTTAGACATCCTTGATCCTTGTTATGTACATATTTCTTTTCTTGCTGAGGATTAGCCTCTTGGGTGTTGTTAGTCATGATGCACCAATCCAATTTCAAATCATGTATCTTTTCTTGTAGTTTTCCTGATCTTGCCTACTGTGTTCTCCCTTTGCACACTAAGGCGATGACAGACAAAATGTGAAATGGTGTTATCACAACTGTCCACTTCTAACAAGCCCAATATGCACACAGCATATCACAGCAGCATGGAAATACCTATGGCACCACATCATGTCTAAATGCCCCCTAGGTACTTACCATAGTGCAGTGGGAGACCACTGGCTGCACCAAGAAGAAGACATGCTATGCATGCAGAATTTCTTGAGGGCATCATATGCAGTTGAAGTCCGAGGTAGCAGGTTTCATAGAAGTTATTGTTGTTCAGTAACAAACAACAATTTTTCTTGTGCACTTCTTCCACTCATAGCGAGTCAACATGTTATGCCTCCATTGTAGCTTGATATCCACACACACTTATCACTCTGGACAGGACCTTAGGTCCAAGTCAGGCGCACTCACTGCACAGCAGAGAACTCTGGAGGCCCTCTGTTGCTGCCTTGTGGGTAACACATCACCTCAACTTGGAATAGATCGCTCCCACCAGCTGATAACCCTGTTCTTCTATAACATGCAAATGGCGGACAAAGCACGTGTTACGTGGTTAAGCCACTCAGCGTGTCAGGACATTTAAGCCGGCAGTTCCAAATCAGTCGCCAGCCCGCGACGAAAAGTTCGTTCTCCCCTGGGTAAATTACAACAAGGGTAGTAGAAAGCTGGTTTATTCAAATGTTCAAGATAGGGTACGTCAACTCAGAGATGCACCGATACATTGAAATTCCACTGCATTCGCAGTGATGACTCAAAACGCGACGCACCACCACACCAGACGACCTTGCTGGGAACTGTTGCGTCCCACCCCAAGCAACACGAACGCAAATCAAGGTTTAGGCTAAAATCCAAAGAGAAGGATCACATTTTACATAACAAAAATGTAAAAATATAAAATTACATACCGAAATCCTTCTTGAACGATGAAATTGCTTTGAATATATGGGCCCACACATCACAGCGTAGCCAACATCACGCTGAGTATTCAAATGCGTCGCTTTTTCTGTAGATAAATACGTTTGCTGATAAGCTCCAAACGTATAGATAAGCCATTCGTGGCGCGCGTGTCACATATGTGAATTAACTACCAGTCATTCCAGAGCTTGCCCAATGGATGGTTGAATCCTGCTAGTAGGAGCACGTTATGACAAATTGCGTACTTTTGTTGAGAGGTGTTCGGCGACGGGAAGCAGTTTGTGATCCATTTTTCGATTAGCGACTGAAAAAGAGAACCTTCGAAATGGAGCAGGACTTGTGGAGCTTGGAGGATGTTGAATTTTTGATAGTCCGTGCTTGTTTTGTTCTGTAGGACCATTGACGGCCGGGCGTGATTGCGGCATGTGCTGCGTTGGGACTGTGCAGGTGTTTGTTGATTTCTTGCTTGGCTAAATCTGATCCATCTTAATCTGAAATTTAATCTAAATCTATGTTATTCGGCAAAGTCTGCGGGCAAGCTAGATAAAGGTGTAATGACAGCCTTGTGAAATTGCATGTCAGCAGGCAGCTTTCCAATTTGGGTGATGCACAGAGTGTACAATATTTGCCTGACAATATTGGAATTTCAATCACAGTGCATTTGCATGTTCATGAATAATGCTGCTGTTTCATTTTCTTACAGGTATCTACACACTCAGGTGATATTGTTTATGTGTAAAACTAGGTACCCGCCTACCTGCATTTACTCATCTAAATTTGTGCAGGCTCAGCTCTTTATTCAAGGGGATTTAGCATCAAAAGATAATGGTAAGTATGACGCACCCCCCTAAGCACGGTTGTTGGAACAGCTGCATGATATTTGGCTATTACTGTGTATTGTACTGCTCTTGTCTACCATATTACCCAATCCCATAAAGTAGGCAATTCATTTTGGTTGTGTTTGTCAGTTGATGAATTACTTAGGGGTGTACATGTGGCATTGGTGAACAGATTCACTACAAAAATCAGGTAATCTTATCCATCAGCCTTATGGAATACTGGTCAAAAGGCAGCTGTCTGCTAAATCTAAACTGAGGCATATATGCCTAAATTCCAGTAAGAGACTACAGGCTACAGGAACCTGTTGATAATCTAATTACCCAAATTCAGTTTTCAAGAAATAAAAAATAAAATGGCACAAATCAAGCAGTCAAGTCAACTGGGCAGCCAGACTATTAAAAAACACATTTTGTTGAACATATCCAGTGCAATTTTGACATCTTGGGAACATCCAAGAAAAATATTCTGATATTAGAGCACAACTAATTGGAAGATTTAACCTGGCCTTCATTCAGCATGTGTGCTGCAGGTTCAGTGTAGCAATGCTGCACAGGCTTCAGGTACAATGAGTGGAGTTTTTGCACACCGGTTGGGCAGTCTCGATGGTTCTTATCCAACACTTGAACCATTCACTTTCCTGGCCATCATCAGGTATTAGTTGATGGAGGAGAGTGCCTGAGAGCTTCTGACATGTAGCCATGTAGTATCACGGCCAAAAAGTTTCTTGCGGCTTTGTGAATATAACCACAATTGTGAGCTTTAATGGCTGAATAGCTCACTAACCTCTGTGCTGCTGAGGAGATGATCAAAATGGTTGAGATTTTTTACCTTGCCTCCCAGGTCCTTAAGTTTTTTAGGATGTTTCTTTTTCTAACCTGTCCAAGTTTTGAAATGATCCAGAAAATCAGGTCTGGCTAATATGTACAGCAGACTTGCTGATGGGGTTTTGATGCATTATAGTATGTGCTATGTCATTGATTATTTGCACTACTGATTAGGTTTTGATGGTGATGGTGCTTTATCCCATGCCAGCTGCCATTATGCCATACCTTTAATCCATGCCAACAGTGTTGTGCCATGCTGTACCTTACTCTTGGCTCTGTATGGCTGTCTTTCCATGTTACCAAAGTGTCAATAGTATTTGATGGCATGGCACCTCTTTCTGCATGCTGCCACTACTGTCTTGAAGATGTATGTGCAATTTTTGTTTTTCCCTTACAGTCACTCATTTCATGTTAGTTATTGATATCATAATGATATACCACTTCTAAAGATGGTTTGGGTGTTGTAGTGTCCACCAATTCTCTGAATGTGCTCTGACAAGCTTATGATATATGGAAGTGATATTGCAGGTTTATCTGGGGACCATTCCATGCTAAGTGATCTTCTTAACTTGTTTCATAAAATCCTCACAAAGCTATTTCTTTATGAGGATTTGCATGCATGTTTCATATACATGCATGTTTCATAAACATGCATGTTTCATCTTCTTCTTGTTATGTTAGGTATTTGCATGGATGGCTGCGATGCAGCATTTGAACACCTCAGAATATCCATCTTAAGGTGATCAGTGCATGCTTGCTCATTAGGGCTTTCAGCTGTGCTCTGTCAGATCTTTCATCAACTGTTGTCCATGTTTTGTTGTAATATGTGAGTGAATGATGCTGCTTTACTCCAAAGAGTTGAATAATTTTGGCAATGTTTCTTCTGCCCAGCATGCATGTATTGCCAGTGGATGACAGAAATCATTTTTGAGCAGCAGTGGGGATATATTGTTTTTCATCCTGATTTCTCTGGCAATATTCAATAATATATGTGGGCTGCAATTCAGTTGCAGGTTGCTTTGATTGAAACAATATTTGAGGTCACTTGTTTCATTTAGGACCAGATCATAATTTGGCTAAGTATGGAAAACCAGTTGCATTTCTATGAAGTACAAATATATTCATATCTCTCAGCACAAGCATGGAGCACAAAATTTAGTAGTGCCATTTCTCCCTAAAATGCAGTGCTTCCTTCTTTCTCCATGTCCAAAATTGTAATGCCTTTAAGTGCACACAACAGTTTTTTCTTTGGTTTTAATGATTGAATCACAATAATCTAATGTAATACCAAGATCACATCAGAAACTTGAATGCAATTTCCATGCAAAGCTCGCCATTTTGGGCCAGCTATAGGTTTTGTGCACACTGAATAGTCACATGGATTTAGGGGAAATATGAAACTTTACCATGGAACTTATATATGCAGGTCACTTAACACCACAACAATATTCCTTGGCACATTCAGAATTGGTTTGTAGTATACCACCAGTATGTTGCTGATCTGACCTGGTGTCTGGCCTGACCTGACCACTCACCTGACCTGACCTCTCACCTCACTTGACCTCTCACCTCACCTTGCATGACTTCTAGTCTGACCTTTGACCTGACCCAGCCTTTGATCCAAACACCCAGCTGACATGACCTGACCTTCCATCAGCTGCTGCGGATCCAGTCGCCGGAGGGCACGCGGCGCGTGGAGGTCCGCTCCGGCGCCTCCACCAGCAGGCTGTTCGAGAAGGTGAGCCGAGGCCGGGCACTCGCGCGCCTCTGGCATACCATACATGAGATGTGACTGTGGATCCAGTGTTGTTTTGTGATATGTAGGATGGTGCTGGGCATTAAGTCAGGAATGTCACAAGAGTGGAGAGTTAACATGAATTTTTGGCAGGCTTAATCCTTCATTTTAAAAAAGCAGTGGAAGGTGCTGCATTCTGTGGCAGTGCAGTGGTAACATGTTCTTGTTTCTTGCGGTGCTGGCAGGTACACATAGTTAGCATGCCATTGTCATTGGCATTATTTATATTGGTTTATTTTCCAGGTGAAGGAGGCATTTGACCTGAGCAGCTTCTCGTTCGCGATCTACAAGTCACGTGGACAAAAGGATGAGATCGTCGCCAGCAAATCTAAAAAGGTAAACTATGAGATAGATATAATAAAAATAAATAAAATAAATATGATATAAAATAAATTGATAAAACCCAGACAAAGGTCTCTGAACATGGTTACATGTAGGGGATGTGGTATTTCTAAGGGCTTGGTTTAATAAATGTGGTAATGCGGTGTGGCAATCTAGATGTGATGATGTTGCTACTTTGCCAATATGCCTGGATTTGCAATGGGTAGGACCCACTGAAGCCATCTAGCACCCTTGTCAAGTGGCAGCTGAAAAAAATAAACTAAAATAATTGAAAGACCTATTTTAAAGGGAGTGTTCCACATTTGTAAAGGGTGTGAGCTGCAACAGCTGTCTTGAAGACCATTCGATGCCTCTCATATCCCTGCCCTTTCTAAGACTTAAATCCCCTAGTTTCTGAAGTACACGCCGCGAACATGGGCAAAAGTGTATCGAGGAGAGTATTTCGACGTCACCTTGGCATTCACGACGTCATAATAACGTCATTAAAATCCTGTCATTCCATAAGTCATGCGGCGATCAAGGCAAATATATATATATATATATATATATATATATATATATATATATATATATATATATAATTGTTGAGTCTGTCATATGTGGCGTTCATGAGCCACGATTTCCAGACATAACGGTTGTCAATTGGCTCTATCAATGTTGTGCAAAGTACGATGACGTAATCAAACAGTGACGCATTTAGGAGCTTATTTACCAAACAGAAATTGTGTTGTCTAGGGCGGTCTTTTCCACTTACAAGTATGCCAATAGTTATGACGCAAGTGAGCTTATTTCATCATCCTCTGATGCTTGCTTTAAAATCTCCAAACGTGGAACATTCCCTTTAAATAATCGATATCGGATATTTAGGTTTTCGATACCAGATCGCTTGGGTCCACCGTGGCTCCCCCGTTTCCCGGTTACGAATCGCAGCGCTGCATCTAACGCAGAAAGACGCAGTGCTGCGTCCGCACACAAAGGGTGGTTGTACCGGGACTCGAACTCGGCACCTTTGGTTTTCAGGTGGACGGGCACCAGCTGCACCACGGCGACATGCTGTACATGGTGCCGCTGTCGGCCGACCTGTTCCCGTCCACCAGCGAGAACATGGAGACACAGAGCGAGCCTGAGAGCAAGGCCTCGTCCACCACCGGTGAGGAGGCCGCCGTCACCGGGGGGAGGCGGGGGGGGGGGGGGGGGGGGGCACCGGCGAGGTCCCGGGAGAGAGAGCGGGGTGACTTAGAGAGGCGAGTTGTCGAAGCGAAGGTTGGTGCTGGCTGCAGATCACTCGGATAGAACTGGCGTGGGTAGAGGACTTAAAAAGGTATTGTGATGTCGAAAGGGTAAGATCGAATACGGTAACACGTGAGCCGGAACCGGACATGACGGAATGCAGATAGGTCAGAAACGCTGGAATGCAGATAACAGAACGCAATTATGTTAGGTAAGACATCGTTTGTTAAATATACCAATTCTGACTGCAGGTGGGGCGGCAGAGTGGCTACATCGAGATCACGTTGGTTATATAGCTCTCGCGCTTGTTGACAACACGCCCTGTAGCCGTTGCTGGGTCGATTGCGGTGGTGACGGCAGCCGGCGCGTGGCTCCTATCTTTCCGCCGCTGGCTGGCCGTCTGAGCGTGGCTGACGCCGCCAACTGGCGCGCTGTTGCAGCCTCACTGCGGGAGAGCCGATCGCAGGCGTCGCTGGTGGCCAAGAGTGACGTGGAGGAGGAGCTGGTGGACCAGCTGCTGTGGCGGCAGGACGGCAAGATCCCCCGCGCCCGGGACGAGCGGCTGTGAGTGGGCGCTCCGGCCCGCCCCGAGGGGAGAGGGCGGGAGAGGTGCCCGCTCGGGTCGAGACGGACGGCTGGGGAAGGCGCCAGCCGCTGGAGGGGCGGTTGGGGAGGGCGACAGCCGCTGGAGGGACGGTTGGGGAGGGCGACAGCCACTGGAGGGACGGTTGGGGGGGGGGGGCGACAGCCGCTGGAAGGACGGTTGGTGAGGGCGCCAGTCGCTGGAGGGACGGTTGGAGGGCGACAGCCGCTGGAAGGACGGTTGGTGAGGGCGCCAGTCGCTGGAGGACGGGTGTGGAGGCGACAGCCCGCTGGAGGGACGGTTGGGGAGGGCGACAGCCGCTGGAGGGACGGTTGGGGAGGGCGGCAGCCGCTGGAGGGACGGTTGGGGAGGGCGACAGCCGCTGGAGGGACGGTTGGGGAGGGCGACGGCCGCTGGAGGGACGGATGGAGATGGCTTCGCCCTGGGAAGAGTGGGGGAGGTGGTGCTTTTCAGCGGAGAAATGGGTCGGGGAGGGCCTTCTGAGAATAGTCCCACGTGTGCTGGTGTTTAGCCGGGCGCCAGCCGAGCGTGTGGCACGGTAGTTGGCTGTGATTCCTGTAGGACCCCTGCGCTTGGTGGTGGGAGCCATTGGCGCTGATTACAGTGGTCTCACCCTGGGCTGCTTGGGCGATAGAAGCCATTCCAAATGTGGGCAATACTGCCTGGATTTGTGAGACAGGCTGGTAAGCACAACCCTCAGATGCAAATGTATCAGACTGAACCTGCCTGGGCTCTCGCACTTTCTGAGACTCAGCGCAGTCCTTTAAATGAGTAGCGTTCTGATAGCGTATCTATCTGAAACTGGCCTTCTCAGCTTGCCTTGGCAGGAGCGCACCAATTAGATATTGTCACAGTGTCGTGAACAGCTGGTCACAGTGAGGCAGCTGAGCTCGGTGAAGACTGCTATGGTCTGAGTTCGAGTGCGGCCGGCCAGTGGGGTGGGGTCACTATTTTATTAGCTATCACGCAGCAACGGCCGGCCGCCAACTCAGCCCTCTGACGCCCCATCGTGATGTGGCTACCACCTGGTGGGCGTCTCGCACCACCTGAGCTTTATGTTGTTTCCACCAGGTGTCGACACGGCCCGAACGGCCGCTGCATCCACTGCAGCCCGCTGGAGCCGTACGACGCCACATACCTCAAGGATAACAACATCAAGCACATGAGCTTCCACAGCTACTTGAGGAAGCTTACTGGTGGCGTGGACAAGTGAGACATTTTCCAATCAATGCGCCATATTTGCCAGCTCACCAGGAGTGCGTGCCGCTGCTGGTGTGGCTGTGTGTCGCGGATGTTTCTGCTGCCAGGAGCTGGCTGGCCATCCTCACGTGACCTGTGTGCCTGTGTGCGTCGCCGTGGGCAAGTGTGTCCCCCCCCCCCCGCGGATGTAACCGATGTGTCCGGATGCGCCGTCAGATTTAAACTTACCCTTCGGGTGTGACTTGTCCTGAACTGTTGCTACCTCTGTCGTGACCTGGCGTGACCTCTGTCGTGACCTGTAGTGACCGCTGTCATAACCTATGATGGCCTGTCTTTACTTCTATCGTGGGCAGTCGTTACCTTTGTCGTGACCTATCATGACCTGTCGTCACCTCTATTGTAACCTGTCGTGACCCCTGTCGTGCCCTGTCGTGACCTGTGTGTCCGTGTGCGCCGCCAGGGGCAAGTTCGCTGCGCTGGACGACCTCAGCTGCAAGATCAAGCCCGGCTGCACGGACCACCCGCCCTGGCCCAAGGGCATCTGCTCCAAATGTCAGCCCAGCGCCGTTACGCTGAACAGACAGGTGAGCCGTCGACCACCGGGCTCAGGCTGGCCTGGCGGAGGGGGGGGGGGGAGGCAGGCCAGTGGGGCGGTCAACACGCCGACACTACACAGAGGTGCGTGTGACGCTCGATGTTGTGTGATGCTTGCTGTGTGACGAGGGAGGCACCGCCGCGGGCAGAAAAATTCACGCGAGCATGGTTGTGAGGTATTTGCTTTCCGTTAGCGAGGTGAGCTATATGCAGTTTTTTAGCGACCTGATTACGTTACTCCACAAATGAAGGAATTAGAAAATGCGCGTAGCTATGACGAGGAGAACTGGTCTCCGCGGTGGCGTGTTGTGGCTCACACTGAGCCGCGTTGGCAGACGTACCGGCACGTGGACAACGTGATGTTTGAGAACCCCGCGCTGGTGGAGCGCTTCCTCAATTACTGGCGCGTCAGCGGTCACCAGAGAGTGGGCATCCTGATCGGCAAGTTTGAGGTGCACAAGGACGTGCCGCTGGGCATCAAGGCCACCGTCACCGCCATCTATGAGCCGCCGCAGGTACTACACGACGACTGATGATCAGGTCGGCTGCTATGGTTCAGGACGGTGATGCTGGGAAATAGTCACACGAGTGTTAGTTGAACGGCCTGTGTGTCACGCCTTGGACTGTCTCGGAGTGTGTAAAAACAACGCGTACACGTGTGGTCCTCGGACTCGGTGCGTGCATATCTCCGGCTGTTGCCGATCTTCGGCGCCCATTCCGGCGGGTGTCGCACTGTGCTTGTGGCCGCACCGCGACCGGGACCTCGTGACCTGTGACCGCGACCTCGTGACCTGTGACCGAGACCTCGTGACCCGTGGCCGGGACCTCGTGACCTGTAACCGGGACCTCATGACCCGTGGCCGGGACCTCGTGACCCGCGACCCGCCGCCGTGCCCTCCAGGAGAGCAGCCGGGAACACGTGCGCCTGCTGGAGGACCCGCAGTCGGCGACGGTGGACGAGCTGAGCGGCGCGCTCGGCATGCAGCGCGTCGGCTGGATCTTCACCGACCTGATCGCCGAGGACATAGCCAAGGGCACGGTGAGCTGGCGCCGGCCGCGGGTGCGCCGCCGCCGCTGTGTCCGTCGCTGAGGCGCGGGCGCGCTGACGCCGTCAGCCGCTCCTCCCGTGACCTCTGGTGTCAGTGTGGTGGCGTTCGGCGGCGGAGCAGCCGCAGGCGAAGGGCAGGGTCGCACACAAGGGTACGGAGAAAGGAAAAGCGTGGGGATTGGTGACAGCAAATGGGTGAAGACTGCGTGGCGAATCCAACAGGGGAAAATGTCTCAGACAGGCTGGGAATGCGAAGGTCCAAAGGAAGGGAAAGCGGGGCAGGAAGGAGGCGGTGTGGTTGTGATCGTCACCGTGGTTGTGACCGTGGTTGTGACCGTCACTAGGCATGCTCGGCAGGACGGAAGATGAGTCTGGTCCGCGCCCTGAAGGCTGTGAGCCGGCCGGGCCCCCTCGGCCCCTTACCTGACCTGACCTGACCTGACCCAGGTGAAGCACCTGCGCGGCATGGACACGTGGTTCCTGTCGGCGCAGGAGTGCATGATGGCGGGCCACCTGCAGGCGATGCACCCCAACCCCTGCCGCCTGGCACCCTCCGGCTACTTCGGCTCCAAGTTCGTCACCGTCGTCGTCTCGGGTGGGTCGACGCGCCGCGCTTAGGCGAACGCCTCAGGACTATTGTCGGAGTCAGATTGTGGTGATGTGGGGGAGGTGCGCGCCAGAAACCCACTGCCACTGATTTTATCACAAGCAATCTCTGTCACCAGTCATTTGTTGCATGGCTTTTGTGATGTGACACTTTCACAACGCAGTTAGCATCATGGCATGCCACATGCATGCCACATAGCCATAGCCATAGCCATAGCCATAGCCATAGCTATAGCCAAAGTCATAGCCATACTCATACCCATAGCCATAGCCATAGCCTTACCCAATCACCATGTCCGCTGTGGCCAGGTGACCGCGAGAACCAGGTGCACATGGAGGGCTACCAGCTGAGCAACCAGGGCACGTCTCTGGTACGTGACGGCTGTTACGTGCCCACCAAGGACGCGCCGGAGCTGGCCTGGATCCGCGAGTCCTCCAACCAGCAGTACGTGCCGGACGTCTTTTACAAGGTGCGTACCGCTCCGGCCGGAGGAACCTCGTGCCGCTCCGGCCAGGGGTCCCCTCGTGCTGCGGCGCCGCGTGTGAAAACGCTATGTTTTCAGATACGCGTGTTCGCCGCGATACGCCTTTTTGACTCTGACCACTGTTTGGTTTTAATACCGTCCTTCCCATGTCAAGAAACATCCTCAGCAGTGAAGACTGTCGTTGTCTACCATTTCTTTTAATTTTTTTACTTTGCGTGATAAAGCATTGTTTTTGTCTTCTGATTGGTGTACACTTTCTACTTATTGCTTCTTATTTACGATCATGACATCAAAATAACACAAAAAAACGCCCTACTGAACACTTATGAAATTGCTAGTTACGCGTTTTTTTTCTTTTACTTTTGGCGGCAGAAGTGACCCTTACCTGTTGACAGACACCAGTAAGTGATCCTTTCCTTCTGACAAACACCAGTAAGTGACCCTCTCCTGACAAACATCAGTAACGGACCCTTTACTTCTGACAAACACCAGTCAGTGGCCCTTTCCTTCTGACAAACACCAGTAAATGACCCCTCCTTCTGCCAGCACTAGCAAGTGACCATTTCCTTCTAAGAAAAGCACCACTAATTGATCCTTTCCTTCTGACAAACACCAGTCAGTGACCCTTTCCTGCTGGCAGACGTCAGTAAGTGGCCCTTTACGGCTGACAAACACCAATAAGGTGCCCTTTTCTGTTACAAAATATCAGTTAGTGATCTTTTTCTGTTGACAAGCACCAGTAAGTGACACCTAGCGTTCGCTTGACCGCGAAAGCCGGTCCCGGGAGCTGACTCTCACCTGCTCTGGCCGGCCGTTGCTTCAGGAGAAGGACGGCTACGGCAACGAGGTGACGAAGCTGGCGCGTCCGCTGCCGATCGCCTACCTGCTGGTGGACGTGCCGGCCTCCACGCCGCTCGAGCCCGTCTACACCTTCCGCCTGCCGCCGGCGCCGCGCTCCCAGTTCCCCGTGGAGAACAGGTGAGGAGAGGCGCTGTTGGAGCGACGGGCTCCCAGTTCCCCGTGGAGAACAGGTGAGGAGAGGCGCTGTTGGAGCGACGCGCCGCTCGAGCCCGTTTACACCTTCCGCCTGCCGCCGGCGCCGCGCTCCCAGTTCCCCGTGGAGAACAGGTGAGGAGAGACGCTGTTGGAGCGACGCGCCCCCAGTTCCCCGTGGAGAACAGGTGAGGGGAGGCGCTGTTGGAGCGACGCGCTCCCAGTTCCCCGTGGAGAACAGGTGAGGAGAGGAGAGGTTGGAGCGAGGCGCTCCCAGTTCCCCGTGGAGAACAGGTGAGGAGAGGAGAGGTTGGAGCGACACGCCATGGTGGCGGGTGTTAGAGGTTGGCTTGTCAGGACGTGTCACGGGTGGCGAAGCCAGCCCATGGGGATGTGATGGGCAGCGCGTATCGACGGCGGGATCGTAAGCACGTGGCGGAGTTGGTGCCGCCGTCACGTGTTGGACGCAGCGTAGTCACTGGTCGGCCCGTGCCACAGGCTCGATGGGCGCGTGTGGCCTGGGCATATCAGAGGCGGGAGAGATATCTCCTAACGGGGCGCCACGGCGCGCTCGAGGTGCCGCGGAGGCTGCCAGGCAATGAGTCGGTGAATGGGGCGCGTGCCGGCGGGTGTGGGGGGGGGGGGGGGGGGCTCGCCTGGCCTCGGGCCGCGGGCGGCCGGGCGGGCGGGACACCGCGGCGGTGCCACGGCAGGCGGTAAAGCCAGCATAAAGCGCGCACGCGGCGGAGCGGAGCCGGGCGCGCGGGCGCGTGATATGCCGGCCTCCGAGGCCTGCCTGGTGATCGGCCGGCCGCCGCCGACAGCGCCGCCCCGTCGCTCGGCCGGTGTGCGCACCGCCCGTGTTACACTGGCGCCCGAGCCCGCGGCGTCCAGGAGGCCGGCCGGTTGTGCGACAAACCGCCCGTGTTACACCGGCGCCCGAGCCCGCGCGGTCAGGCCGGCCGCGGCGCTCTGTCGCCGCCGTCGGCCCGTCGGTCGGCGGCCGTCCGCGCCGCGGCCGTCCTGCCGACCGCGGCGCGGCTGTGCTGGGATGGTCGGTGCGGCGAGCGGCGAGCCATCGGCGCTGATGTGTGCCTTCCCGTGCCACGGCAGGCTGCTGGACGGCCACATGCAGAACTTCTCGGCGCTCTCGGCGTACCTGCACCGGGTGACCGAGGACGACTTCCTGTCGGCCGTCAGCGACTTCCACGTGCTGCTCTACCTGGCCACCATGGACACTGTACACATCAAGGTGGGTGGCTGGTGGCGACGCCCCTCTCCCCCCGCCCTGGTCGGGCCGGGGGCCAGACCACCGCCGGAGGCCAGCCCAGCACCATGAATGCCGCGCGCTTCGTGGAATGCCGTGGTTTGCCCCGTGTAAAGTTTGTGATAGTCCGTAGTGGGTGATGTTGAGCCGACTTAAAGGTCACATGGTGCGGTTATTTAGTATGGTTTTAGGTATTTGTTGGCACTTCAGTAGCCGTAAAGCACGGATAAATCCGCTGAGATGCGCCTTCAAGTGAGGCTCGGACGTCGGCGGTGTGGCGTCGCCAGGAGCCGCTCCCGCGCGCCGGGACGAGAGGCGTGGCGCGGGACACCGCCGGCTGTGCTGTGACCGGTCTCTCCGCCGGCAGGCCGTGCTGCCGCCGCTGCTGTCGGCCGTGCGGCAGCAGGACCAGCTGCTGGCGCACGAGTTCTACAACGGCGTCGAGTGGCAGACGGTGCTGCAGCTGATGGAGGCCTCCTCGGCCTCGGCGACCGGCTCCGGCGCCCAGGTCAGCCGCCGTCCCCGCCCGCGCGGCGTCTTGTCGGGCCGCCGTTGGCCTGTGAAAACAGACGCGTCATTTGCGTCAGCTGTTTTAATAGCTGCAGATGGCTGTGATGTATTCTTGGTGACTCCTTTTTCTGTATTGAATTGCGTACGCCCGCCTTTCGATATATATATATATATATATATATATATATATATATATATATATATATATATATATAGTGCGCCATAATACGCACACTATTCGATATTTTAGATAAACGCACACCAAGAACGCATAATCGACAGTGGGCCCATCTGAAACAATGGATTGTCAAGCGTATGGCAAATAGTGTGCCGCCTGGTGGGCGTTCTTCGGCGGTCTAAGTTCCCCGTCCGGCCGACAGATGTCTCAATCAGTGGGCGCGGACGCCTGGCCCTGCCAGCACTGCACGTTCCTGAACCGCGCCGAGAGTGCCAGCTGTGAGATCTGCCAGCTACCCAAGATGTAGGCGCGCGAAGTGTGGCGGGCCTGCGCTCCGCCGGTCGGTGACCCGACACCCCAGCGGCTCAGTGATGACCGGCCGGTGTCCTGCGGTGACCTGGCCGGGCTCTAGTGACCCACGTTTGACCCGCCGCTGACCCGCTGTCGCCGGACGCGCCCGGCCGCCGGAAGGCGCACGCCGTTCGGTCGCGGGCGGCGGCCGGCGTGTCGTCGAGCCAGTGCCGCCGCCGCAGTGGCGGCTGTGTGTCTCCGGAGCGACCTCAGGGCCGAGGCCGGTCACAGGTCATGCCAAGCACGTCGCCAGCCGGCAGTGTTCTCTGGGCTCACAAGTGAGCGGCCGGCCGGCGGCGCCGGGCGGGATTGCAGCTGTGCTGCGTGTGTTAGCGCTCGTCCCGGCAGTTCGGGAGGCCGGTGACGCGTTTGTGCACTTCTCAATACATTGTACCGAGGCGGGCGCGCCGCGGCTGTGTGGCGGGCGACGCCGAGCAGCGCCCACCGAAGGGACGCGCTGGTCAGAACTCTGCTCCGGCGGTTGAGTCCTTGCTCGCCGGCCGGCCGAACCAGGTTCTGAAGTGCTCCGAGATTCGGGGTCAGCCCATCGACGACCGCATGCCACCGCCGGGGTCGGGAAGGGCGCAGGTGGCGCGTGACTGAAGACGCGCGCCTTATTGGATCGCGGGGTTGGGTCAGGGGTCTGCTGGGTACTGGATGGGGCTAGCCTGGTACGTCGTGGCCCGCACCCTCGCGGTAGCGTTGCGCGACACCAGCGGGACTTCTCCACTGTCCCGTTGGATTTAAAAGCACTGGAGGGAAGACTCCCCCGCATCGAAATCCCGCCATCTCGCCAGTCGATTCGACGTGCACACAACGGGCCCTGACCAGCACCGCCACATCATGTGACAACACAGCGCCCGGGCGGCTGCCGCCAGCGCCGCCGGCCTGACCGGGCCCGCTGCCCCGCCCTCGCTCGCCGCGCCACTCCGTCCGCCGTGCGGCCCGCGTGACTTCCGACCCGCTCAACGCTCGCTGGGCTGGGGTCGAGATCGCGTTGCTCCTGATCGGCTGACTTGCTGAGCGGGTTTTAGCCACGGCGTGCTGAGTCCTTTCTTCGAACCCAGGCCACGGCTTGCGTCAGCCGCCGCCGTAGCCGGCTGGACCTTTGGCCTGCTGGACCCTGGCTCGGCTGGATCCCTGGCAAGCTGGACCGCTGGCCGACCAGACCCTGGCCTGCCTGAGGCCTTGTGCTGGCGGGCCGGTGCGTGACAGGGCCGGTCGGCCGGCGTCGCGGCCCGCTTAATTCGTGATGAGGCGGCCTGGCGGCGTCGCGTGAAGACGCTGACTAATCTGTTGATTGCGCCGGTCTCCGGTCGATGGCGGGTCCGGCTGTGGACAGTGGACGCTCGAGTCCGCCGCGAGCGACCGGGGGCGCCGTCGCCTCACTGCGAAAGGCAGACTGGCTCAAGTGTTGCGCAACCAGTACTGCGCGTGCGTGCGCCGGGGTATGATTATGGGATGCATTGAGTGCATTTCGGCGGGGAGGGGGGGGGGCTCTGGGAATATCGTGACGGGGTGATGTGGGGTTTGTAGGTCAATTCATCCCGCAGGGTGTTCCGTACTGAAAGTCAGGGATTAGGGGTAGGTCGGCGCAATGCTCTTTTTGAAAACATGGAACGTAATGGTCGTCTTGGCCTTTTGACCTAAAGCAAGCCGGGAAAACGCCTCCTGAATTAATTTTGACGTATAGGGACACGGATGTGGCACCATGGATTGCCAAAGATGCCAAACATTGTCAAACGTGCGGGCATTCGGTCCCGCCACCGTTCCTACCGAATTTCCGTGCTTTTGCAGATGATCTGGTACATTGTGACAGGCACACCCATCGGCGGCGCTGTGATCTCGCCGCAGACAAACACACATGATGAGCTCGCCGCAGACAAACACACATGATGATCTCGCCGCAGACAAACGCACATGATGAGCTCGCCGCAGATAAACACACATGATGAGCTCGCCGCAGACAAGCACACATGATGAGCTCGCCGCAGACAAACACACATGATGAGCTCGCCGCAGACAAACACACATGATGAGCTCGCCGCAGACAGGCACACGTGATGAGCTCGCCGCAGACAGGCACACGTGATGAGCTCGCCGCAGACAAACACACATGATGAGCTCGCCGCAGACAAACACGCATGATGAGCTCGCCGCAGACAGGCGCACGTGATGAGCTCGCCGTAAACAGGCACACGTGATGAGCTCGCCGCAGACAGACACATGTGATGAGCTCGCCGCAAACAGGCACACGTGATGAGCTCGCCGCAGACGGGCACACGTGATGAGCTCGCCGCAGACAAACACATATGATGAGCTCGCCGCAGACAGGCACACGCTGATGAGCTCGCCGCAGACAGACACACGTGATGAGCTCGCCGCAGAGACGGCCTCGGCTGAGCGTGCCCGGATATCCGGACCGCGGCCGGAAACACAGCACCTCGGAGGAGCTGGAGCTGGAGCTCGAGCATGGTTACCACATGCACCCATGCCTACCCACCGCTGGATCTAATTGGAGACAGTGATACCGTCCTGAACAGCGATTGCCGCCCACGGCCACAACGGCGACAGTTCACGTTAATGGCAACCACGGCGGGCATCGATCACGTCGTTTTCCAACCAGCCGACCTCAATTCCTCGGCGCCGCTGGCAGCCGGCGGCATCGCTTCACCGAACACCCGTGCGGCCGTATCGACCCCATGACGCCCCTGCCACTGACCGTTGGTACTTAAAGCGGCTGTATAGCCGCTGGGCACGCGCCCGCCGGTCTGACGTCATGCGACGCTCTCGCGAGCCGAGGTCGTTCCTTGGCGCGGAAGCGTGCCTTCAGCAGGTCTTCAGGGCTGGTCCATCGTGCTGCGCTGCGGCCGTGAGATTTGAGCGGCTGGTGAGCATGGTCGCCGCTGCATGGTCTCGGTGGTGGTCTTCATTCCTCATAAAGACACTTTAATCTGAATAATTGAAAATGCGAAAGCGTTTGCCATCAGAGAACCATCGTCACATGCGGACAACAGGTGGGCGTAAGTGTGCCAATAATCAATAAGTGTGTGTCAATAAGTGAGTCAATAAAACACATTTTGTAAATGGCAAATGATGCTTTGCGCTGTTACTTTCCTCTGCAAGACGCTAGGCCACTATACCTAGAACAACATAGAACGACATGAACATAGAACACGACGCGGCACACACGAACACACGACATAGAACAGGCGATAGAACAATGCTCTGAAACCGAAGGACTAAAACAGTACAGCTCGTGCATTTGCTGCACGGCCTCTGCAACCCTTTCCTCATATTGTCACGTGAGATTATTGCGCCCGGGCTGGCTAGCTCGCACCACACAATACACCCCGTTCGCCCAATTCTGCAGCGGCCAGTGTACCACGGCGCCGGGCAGCGCGGAGTCCCGACGGCGCTCGATGCCTCGTTAAATGGCGAACAAGGGCATCCCGCCGACTTGTTTGACCGGCGCACACAGCTGGATCGGCCGCGGCACGGATTGGCAAAGCCGTGCACGGGGTCGATGAAGCCATGGCAGCCGCCCGCGCGAGCGAACGCGGGGCTTTGCAACCGCCGGCGAACAATTCCAGCGGCTGGCCTCGCGCGGCTGCACGGCCTTTGCAACGTTATCACCACCGGTGCCATACTTGTAATAACACGCCCGTGTGGTGTACTGAAAATGAGCTGGTGTAATGCGCAGTAAACAGTGGCATGGAAAAAAACGTCGTGTGCTTATGCAGGTGACAAATTGACCCATTTTGGACGCGTTTTTGCAGGTGCATATACGTAAAATACGTACGCGTGTACGTCATTATACGTATACATATGTTACGTATACGTATACGTATACGTAGCAGTTCACGGAGTCAAAACGAAAATTGTTTCAGGAAGCATGCACAGCAGAGTGGGTTTTAATTTGGCCGCCATTTTTATTTCGAGTGAGTGACCCGTTGCATCGCGCCGAGGAACAAAACACATATAACCTGAATTTGAAGGTGATCATCAGTCCGTGGCTCTGCGGGTTAGAGCGCCTGCCTCTCATCCCACCCGTGGCGGGGTAAGGGTACGAGCTCCTACGCGAGCTCATCTGGTCCTGGCTGGGATGGCTGCGGTCGGCGGCAGCGGCCGCTCAAGGTCAGCTGAGGTCGGAGGGCGGTGTGCCTGTGGGTCGAGCTAAGCATTGCAGCAAAAAAATTTCCAGCTTTCAACACAAAACTCTGCGTTTGATTAAAATTTCACGGGCGCGTGGTGGGATTGTGGCTAACGCAACAGGCGCCGTTTGGTGGGATCAGGCTGGGACGTAATGTCCTGTCCAGTTGGGGAGGGGCTGGACCCTCCCCCCATCCCCCAACTAACTTGTGTTCCTTCAACTTTCAGAAAAAAATATGCCAAATCTAGAGAGAAAGCTGTTTGATGGTGCATTTTGGTGGTAGGTTGAGTCATTTTTCAATCCTTAGCCTCCCACCATTCATTTGGGGGAAATACGCCCCTGGCACCAGTGTTCACATAACAGGCCCTGTTAAGCGCGAGCCCCTACCCCATAGACCCATCTAGATATCTAGATATAGATATTCATAATATCCATTGTTAAGGAACAATTGTATATGTTACAGTTGCCTCCGACACATCTAAAGAATTGTTTTTGAAATAGCTGGCAAATTCAAAAGGAAGATGCATGTTTTCGTCATTTGTTCAATGAGTCGATTTATCCCGACGGCAATCGGGTAATTGTATTTAAAAGGTTCAAAATTCCTTCAAGGAAATTTGAGTTTGATCTGAGCGAGATCTATGCCACAGCTGTAACAATTTTAAAGTATTCGGCAAGGGCTTTGTCGGACCATATAAATTAAAAAATGTAATAACTGAAAATGATTGTACCAACAGCGGCCCCCAAAACACACTTCCGTTCTGCTAACGTCTGTCATTTTATTTCACTCAAACCAAATGACCTCTTGACCTTGGGCGGAGTCAGGCCATCAGACCTACCGTGACATCCAGCCTCTCAAAGAAAGCGCATTGCACGCCACAGAAAAAAACTGGTCGCAACGTAGTATGTTGGGTTGCAAATCAAAGCAGCATGAAGGGCACAAATGGGGTTTAGGCACTCTTATTTCTTATAAGGGCGGCGCGCGCCCGCATAATTGGCCCAATCTGCACTGAAGCCGGGCACCTGCCGGCCGCAGCGCTAGCCTGCGTGCGTCTCTCGTGACTCAGGTGGTAACTATGGTAACCGCTTGACAGCTGACAGCGAGCCGGACTGTCCGCAAGCACGTAAGGACGCAAGAACGAGAACGGAGCAAGGACGGCCTTATACAGCGAAGCGAAGTCACGCAAGACAGTTTGGCCCGCGTGCGATGACAAAAGCGCGCGCTGACGTCACGTGTTCCCGCCATGG